CAGGACCTTTACCCTTCTGCTGTCTCTCGTAGGCCCGGACTATATTGGGAGCTGTCTCTAGAAGTTCCGATCTTGTAAACCAGCGGTCGTCTTCTGGTTCCTGATAACTAAAATGAACCTTATACTGTTTCTGCGGACGACCCCTACCTCCAGTTCTGAATACGTCTTCAGCCACTATGCCATCGATGTCATACCTTCCATCCATATCGGGTGGAATCATAGATCTACGGGATGGAAACTGATCACTTGTTTGGCAAGGTAGTAACTTCGATGCGTGGTAAACTGGGTAAGTGTGGAGGTGTGCTGGTAAATCTATGGTGTAGGACGGTCCATCTTCGCCGCCCTTGACTTCCAGAACAGGCCACGGCCCTCTATATGTGGGCAGTAACTTCTGCGAGATGTTCTCCTCAGGTGCAAATTCTCTAGAACTAACCCAGACTAAGTCGCCTACCTGAAACTGTGAAGGGCGACGGTGTTTGTTCGCTTGCTCTATCATCCTATGCTGGGCTTTCCTGAGGTTCTCGACAACAGTAGCTATTTCTTTCTCGTGCTGTACAGCAAACTCCCTGGTCCCGGGCGGCAACCTGTGAATCTGATCCCGGTTGAGTCCCTCAAACGGTCTGCGCGGTCTAAAGGACTTGTGCAGTTCGTTGGGAGTGCGGCAGGTAGACAGATGCACACTGTTATTGTACGCACCAGCTACTTTGGGCAACATCTCATCCCAGTTAATCTGATCTGGTCTAATATACATGCGCAAAACTTGCTGTAGGATCTTGTTCATTTGCTCTGTCTGACCGTTAGTCTCTGGATGACGGCCGGACGACATCAACAACTTGGACCCATATACTCCCATGAGTTCTTGCCAGTTCTGGCTGGTGAAGCGACTATCTCTATCGCTAACTATTGACAGCGGGATTCCATTCTCACTAACCCAACAGTCAAAAAACCTCTGAATGACTAAATCAGTACGTGCCTCTGACGGCAAAGGAACAAAGACTGCGTACTTACTAAATCAGTCAACTATGACCATGACTTGGCTCTTGCCATGCCTGCTCTTGACCTGAGTGTCCATGAAGTCAATGGACACTGAGTCTCCCGGTTGGTCCGGAATGGGTAAGGGTCTGAGAAGACCTAACGGGGCGTGCGTAGAACTCTTGTTACGCTGCCAGACCTTACAACTGCGAACATACTCTATGCAGTCATTCTTCATCCCTGGCCAGGTATACGAGCGCATCAGATTGGCTAAGGTCTTTTGCCAACCAAAATGACCCTCCGTGTCATGGCATTCGCTCAAAATCAGACTACGAATCTCTTCGCTATTGGGAATGCACAGGCGGTCAAATACATTAGTCTTCTCAAAGAGCAGCCCTTCAGTAGTGCGGTAGTTCGGCTCAGTCTCTGGGGCCTCCTTGACCTTCTTAAGGAGCTCACTATAGATAGGGTCCTACGCATAGGCCTCTCTAACCTTCTGTTGCAGGTCCTTCCCTAAATCGAGGTAGAGCACTATTGCCCCAAAGTAATCTGCCCTCCTACTCAGAGCATCCGCGACTACGTTGTACTTCCCTTTAACAGGCTTGAGCTCGAAGTCGTACTGATCTATTTCTGCGGCCCACCTGGTAAGCTTAGGTGTCATCTTGGCGTGCGTTTTTAACCATCGTAACGTTTCATGATCTGAATAGACTTTGAAGTGCCTCCCAAGCAAGTAGTGCTTCCAGTGGTGTAAGGCTTGCCTGAGAGCGTAGAGTTCCCTCTCATAGGTAGATGTCGCGACCTTCTCTGAAGGCATTCTGGCGGACATGAACTCTACGGGCCTATACCCATTGCCATCGTCTTGCTGTAACACTGCGCCTATGCCGTATTGACTCGCATCGGTCGCGACGACAAAGGGCAAGGACGGGTCGACGACTTTAAGGACTGGATACTCTATCAATGTCTGCTTTAACTTTTTCATGGCAGACGTGCAGTCCTTATCCCACTTCCAGATAGTTTCCTTCCTCAACAATCTGCGAAGGGGCGCAACGATGGTGGAGAAGTTCCTTACGAACTTCCGGTAGTAATTAGCTAAGCCCAGAAACGAGCGCAACTCTGTCAGCGTACGTGGCGTGGGCCAATCTCTAATCGCTGCGATCTTGCTATCCACTGGCTTAACGCCGTCTCCGTCTAAGACGTGGCCTAAGTACAAAACTTGGGTTTTCGCCCAATCGCACTTCTTTGCATTGATCTTGAAGTTAGCTTCCCTCAGCTTCTCCAAGACCTGCCTGAGATGACCCTGATGCTCTTCGAGGGTCCGGCTAAACACTAAGATGTCATATAAGTAAACTACAACAAATATGTCTAACCACGGCCTAAACAAATCGTTCATACAGCGCTGGAACGTAGCTGGCGCATTGGTTAGTCCAAAGGGCATCACTATGAACTCGTAGTGCCCATATCTAGTTCGGAAGGCTGTCTTGTATTGATCATCAGGATGCACCTCTATCTGATGATATCCGGACTTCAAATCTATCTTGGACAATACTTCGCCCCCTGCACTCGATCTAAGAGATCGTCTATCCTAGGCAGTGGCTCGACATTCTTCACTGTAATGGCATTCATACCCCTATAGTCTATACACATCCTCAGCTCTCCCTCTTTTCTTAGGGACAAAGAGAACAGGGGCTCCAAAAGGAGATAAACTGGGCCTAATCCAACGCTTTTCAAGGAGCTCGTCCAACTGCTTCCGCAGCTCCTCTAACTCACGCGGGGACATCCTATGCACAGCACCCTTAGGAGTTCTACTGCCAGGCTCTATCTCAATACGGTGCTGGATGGGCCGCGGCACCGTGCCTGTCGACAGCTCAGTCAAATCCTTAAGCTCTTCCAGCAATTTGGCAATAGCAGGGTCTACGGGCTTCTCTTCCTTAGGCTCAGTGACTGGCCTAACATAGGCAACAAAGACCTGTTCCTCTAAGTGCTCCTTCTTCACTAATCTAGCGAAGACAGGGGCACGGAGGCAGCAATGTGCCAATGAATTCTCTACTCCTGACACATGGAACAGGCGGGCAGTCTTAGCCTCGCCTGCAGCACTAGGGAACCTACACTCGTGCTCCTTCCAATGGAGCGTGGCCCCAACTGCCTCTCCCCAATCCATTCCCAGCACAATATCAAACGGGAGGCTATCCTCTACGAGGAGAGTCAGGGAGTGGAGGACCTTCTCCACCTTCCCATCTTTCTCTAGGCGGAAATACGCCTGGACTCCCTTTACGTAATGCTCTACAACCATGGTACGATTGTCCGCGAGGATACTAACTATGGGGTCTGTCAGTTTATGGACTTTAAGTCCCAGCCTCAACTTCTGCAGCGCTTTCTTACTAATATAGCTGCGGGTGGCCCCTGAGTCTACTAGGGCCCCTACTCTACTTCTAAAAATCTCGGCATCTAATAAAATCAGTTGCCCTTTATTCTCCTTCTTCATCTTGGCCCAGGCGGGCCTCCTCTCCTTCAATTCTT